TGTGTGTGTGTGTGTGTGTGTGAACATGAGCGTGAGGGTGAGTGTGTCTGTGAGTGAGTGTTTTTGTGTGCATGTGTGTGTGTGTGTGTGTGTGTGTGTGTGTGTGTGTGTGTGTGTGTGTGTGTGTGTGTATGTGTGTGTGTGTGTGTGTGTGTGTGTGTGTGTGTGTGTGTGTGTGTGTGTGTGTGTGTGTGTGTGTGTGTGTGTGTGCAAGTGTGTGTGTGTGTGTGTGAATGTATGTGTGAATGTGTGTGTGTGAATATGTGTGAATGTGTGTGTGTGAATGTGTGTGTGTGTGTGTGTGTGTGTGTGTGTGTGTGTGTGTGTGTGTGTGTGTGTGTGTGTGATGTGTGTGTGTGTGTGAATGTGTGTGTGAATGTGTGATGTGTATGTGAATGTGTGATGTGTGTGTGTGTGTGTGTGTGTGTGTGTGTGTGTGTGTGTGTGTGTGTGTGTGTGTGTGTGTGTGTGTGTGTGTGTGTGTGTGTGCATGCATGTCTGTGTATGTGTGAGAGTCAGAGAGAGGGAGGTGGAGGAGACTCAAAATTGAATCATTTGATTTGGTTTTGAAAAAATATGTTGATGCCAGTGTTATTCCCTGCTTTAACCCATTACAATTACATTTAAAAATTATATCTATAACTGGATGTCTTTGTATCTATTTCATTAAACACTTCTTTGGATGGCAAACAACTGTGATAAGTTTTTGTACAGGTTTATTGCAAAAAAAGTATATTATGCTGCATGGCTGGTCCACGCAGAATATAAACACATACTACAGTTTATAAAAGAAAGAAACACAAAAAATAGGAAAAAGAAGGGGGGGAAATTAGCACAGCATATATATTAGCACTAATAAAGTTTTATAGCACAGAGTGAAAATATATATATATTTATGCTCTAGTTACAATACAGCTTTTTACAACACATTCATTCCTAAGATAATAATAACAATAATAACAATGCTTGCAATAATCATGAGGGTGATAATAATAACAATAATAATGATAATAATGATAATAATTACAATAATAATAATAATAATAATAATAATAATAATAATAATAACAACAACAATTGTATTAATAACAATATCTGTAATAATAATAATAAATATAATAATAATAATAATAATAATAATAATTATAACAATAATAATAATAATAATGATGATGATAATAATAAAGTTAATAATAATTATAATGATGATAATATTAATAATAATAATAATAATAATAATAATAATAATAATAATAATAATAATAATAAAAATAATAATAATAATAATAATAATAATAATAACATCAATAATAATAATAATGATCATGATCAGGATAATAATAACATTAATAATAATAATAACAATAATAATAATAATAATAATTATAACAGTAGTAATATGATAATACTAATACTGATAAGCAAGTAAAACCAAATTAGAAAGTAATAAAGACCTAAAAAAAAAAAGAAAAAAAAAAGAAAAAAAAAAAAGAAAAAAAAGAAAGAAAAAAAAAGAAAAAAAAAGAAAAAAAAGAAAGAAAGAAAAAAAAAAGTGTCCATTGAGTGGTTTATGATTATATACACTATAAACAACATTTTGTTTCCACAATAAGTGAGTTGCAAAACAAATACGAAATCAAAGCAGCAATACACATGCACAGGCACTTGTGCTCTTTACCTGCATATAATGTTTTAGTATTTCAGTATACCATGAAATTTTGGCCAAATACAATACACAGACTTGGAAAAAAAAAAAATAATAAAAAATAAATAAATAGAAAAAATTGACAAAACCATATATTTTCGGTAACACTGCACTCCTTGCCAGCTCATAATATCCAAAGGAATATGTTTGTTTTTTTTTGGTTTTGTTTTCTGTCTAAAGAAGAGTTTAATTGGACTTAACTGAGGTCTGGGACACAAACTGTCCACTGCGGTTTTGTTTTGTGAATTTTTTTTTAACACAGAGATGACTCCACAAGTTCTTAGTCACCACAGAGTAACTTAGTAGACTTATGTATCCTAAGCTGATTTCCCTACTTCTTGTATTTTTGTAGAGAGTAAACAAAATAAAAAGCTTTCTGAAAATCTAGAAACCTAGTCATTGACTCTCTGATAACAAACCTCCTATGAAGCCATCTTTGTGTAAGCAAAATTCATAAACTAAAATCACAGTCGACAAGGCATGTACCTCATAGTTTTAGTGTTTCCTTTCTCTCTGTTCTACTATTTTTTTCTATATGTCTATTGTTTTTATGTATTGTAATCTGAAAGTATTTTGATTTCCTCTTTTATTTACATTTGCTACTTTTTCGAAAATATATGTTACCTATATTACTTTTAAATATGGTATAAAATCATGTTTGTATATCAGAGAACATTTTGATTTCATACATACATAAATATGTAAAATTATCTCAGTCAGATATCCGAATTTATCAAATAGATTACTCATTACTATTCGTATCAATACTCATATAAATCTTCCTTCTTTCCCAAATTCAGTTAATGTACCACTAACTTCCTTTGGCGTGTATGTATGTTTGCATGCTTGTGTGTATGCACTCGCGTGTGCATGTACTTGTGCGTGCATGCATGTGCATCTGAAAGCAAGCGTGTATGTGGGTGTTGGAGTGGGACTGGAAGTGAGCATTGGTGTGAGTAAGTGTAGATGCAGGTGTAGATTTGCAGGATTTCAGTGCGTGTGCACCCATGTATACATCCCTTTTACTTTATCTTTTCAAACATTAAAATTAAAACATATCTTTCCCTATCTATTTCTTTTGTTACATGACTCACACTACACAAATTCAACCCTTGCCTTTTATCAAATACCGAGAAATTAATGTCATTCATAAAAGATCTGATAAAGACACATGTACTTATACTGCATTTCCATATACGGAATGTATTACCAGGCTGTAGCTAGGACACAATCAAGCGATAAATAAACATACATCTGCTTATAATCCTAAGTACAGAGCTGAAGACTACTTTGAGGAAAATAAAAGTGTTTTTAAGAAATGGTCATCAACAGAATTCAATTGAAAACCACACTGCTGGCATATTGTCTCTTACATACTGAGCTATGAAGCCCAGATGTATAATCATGATTGTAATAGGCAGTGGTAAAGTACATTTGAAATGTAGATTTGAGATCCACCAGCGTGATCCATAAGAGTAAAATGTTAACCCATAAAATAAATTATGTAAAGAGGTATTTGATAAACTTAATTTAAAAATCTCATTGATACTGTCAAAAATTTGATGGTTTTAAAACATGTTCTTGTCATATATACAGTCAGTACATTCACTTCTAATGTAAAAGAAAAAAGAAAATGGTTTTACACATCATTACAAAATTGTCAAACAAATTCAAACAAACTGATTACTTTTAAGCAATTCAACAATATATGTGAATAAAGCATTCTTTTTTTATTATAAGGTTCTTATATTGTTTAAATATTTGATCTGAAGGAAAGTGAATTATAAATGAACTATTTATTATAACACTGTTTCCATATAACTGTAATGCCACTCATAATGTTAAAGTCAGATAATAAACTTGTTATTTTCACAGCCAGATTTAAATACACACAGACAGAATGAAAAGAGGATTTTGTGTGTGTGTGTGTGTGTGTGTGTGTGTGTGTGTGTGTGTGTGTGTGTGTGTGTGTGTGTGTGTGTGTGTGTGTGTGTGTGTGTGTGTATGTGTGTGTGTGTGTGTGTGTGTGTGTGTGTGTGTGTGTGTGTGTGTGTGTGTGTGTGTGTGTGTGTGTGTGTGTGTGTGTGTGTGTGTGTGTGTGTGTGTGTGTGTGTAGGTGTGTGTTAGCATATATATATATATATATATATATATATATATATATATATATATATATATATATATATATATATATATATATATACATATATATATATATATATATATATATATATATATATATATATATATATATATATATATATATATATACATATATATATATATATATATATATATATATATATACATATATATATATATATATATATATATATATATATATATATATATATATATATATATATATATATATATATATATATATATATGTATATATATATTGATGTCTTTGTGGGTATGTATGTGCATATCCCTGTGTATATGCAAGGGCATGTGCATATATGCATGTGCACAAATAAGAACCCTATAATAAAAATAGGATGCTCTAATAATGGAACCAAGTACAGATTTTAACATGCAATTATCACAGAATTATCTGTATGTCAATAAAAGCTGGCAGGCTCACACTCATTTACCATCATGAATAAAAGGACTTAAAAAAAAAGAGATTCTATTAATAATGAAAAAAAAGTATATATGCATTACTGTATGAACAATAAATCATTTTTTCCAATTAGATATTCTATCAGATAGGTTTTCTTCCTCTAACTCTGAAATAAAGTTTGTGCATTTTACAGTCATAGCAATAATGAAGATAAGAAAATGGAGTATATATATATATATTTTGGTATAAGTTTGTATTCTGTTACTGTGTGTGCACATATGATCATCTAAAATTAAAGCAATATAGATAAGCAAATACTGTATGCAAATAAGTGCTTTGAGGAAACACGGGAGCATATCTCACTTTGATTTGTCGAACAAATATTTCTTGAACGTTTGAGTTATTCATGAAATATTTCATGCTTATGTCTGAACGAGAATATCTAAACTCTACATGTACATAAAATTGCATAGTAATTCACTAGAAAGTATGCCCTCATTCAAGATAAAAAGAAAAAGAAAAAAAAAGTTATACAAGACAAACCTTTTAAAACCTGGCTATTCAAAATGACATTTTCAACGATGCTTATCTTAGCAAGTTATTGTATAAAAGACTCTCAGCTTCAATGACTGGAGTTTTTTTTTTTCTGAAAAGTCCATCACAGAGATATTGATATACATCTTACAAGGCTAAGAAATCATAGAATGAGTATCTTTTCTCTACGATTAC